TAGATTCACTTTCCTATCAGAAAAGCTACTGATGAAGAAAATCCAAGCACTTTTACTGCCCTAAAACGTGATGACAGACACAAAAAAGAAAATAAAAAAATATAAAAACACACATCATTGTAAAACCAATACATTCATCGCTCAGAATCTAAAATAGAGGGGCTTTTTTACCCTCAAATTTTTTATTGAAATTGGGCCCCTGCCCTACTATTTGAAGCATTGTATAGTAAGTTGGAATAATAGTGGGTGCCTACTATTCTGGTTGCTCCACTGACATAATATGATACCTATATTAGGTACCCATATCATAAAAGTACAAGGTACTTATTACTTAGTACTTATAGTTACTACTTACTAAATACTTAAATACTACTTACTTATTACTTAGTATGTAGGTAGTAGCCAGTATAGGTTAGGTACCTACCTTGAATGCTTGAACTCTTCTAAATACAGGGTGTGACTGTGTGAGGCAGACATTAATACGCTTTAAATGTATAAGTAAACAATCACTTGTGTTATAAGAAGAACACAATTCCGCAATACCTAAATATACCATCTGGAGAATACAAGAAATGTACGAAAAAATATTTCTTTAATTAGTAGTTTACTATACAACTAACTTTAGGAGTTCAGTACCTATTGCGTAGTATTTGATCTCGATTGTGGGCACCGGGCTATGGCTAATGAAGAACTGTGTGGCAAGTCAAATCTATATATACATTTACACCTATATAATTGTATGTAGTTATATCAACAGTCATAACTCATAAATGTTTCATTGTAAATACATTATATTAATATTTAAAAATAATTATAATACGGTTGACATATTTAGATTAATATTTAATAGGTACTATATCTACTATCATACTGCTGTACATTTTATAATTTATATAGGTAATTTAAGTAATTATATTAATAACATTTCGGATTTGTATTTTTAATAAACAAGCTGCCAGTTACACTAAAATAGTAAAAGGTAAGCTTATTATTACATTATTTTTTATGTTATATCAAATTATAAATTATATATATTATTATGTTATTATAATATAACATTAAAATTGGTAAAATATTTAAACACTTTCTAGTTTCTACTGCAGCGTTTAATGGTCAAACCCAAACGCGTAGTTCTTTACTTATTTATTTTTCATGAATGCTGAATGATTGACAACAGGTCATCGTCGTATTATATTATACATATTATCTAAACCGACATTGTTATATAACACGAGCTTGATAATTAGTTTTTAAATTATTAATATATTATATATATATAGATACATAATGTGTTATATATATATATTTATCAATAATGATTTGTCTATTTCACAGGTATATCATATTATACCTACTGTTGTTTAGACCTTTAATATTCACCCATAGTTTGTGCTCCAGGGGCGTCTTCAGGTCAATTCCTAGAGGAGAGGGGGAGAATGAAAAATTTTACCCTTAAATACCACTTTGGTAAACAAAATATTTAAACCTATATGTTTGATGTAATATCGTACAAAAACAGAAAATTACACGTCTTATGGGGAGGGCGATCGCCCCCCCCGCAGGGACGTTCCTGTTGTGCTCGTGCACAGTTAGGACAGTCTTGTAAAAGATACTTTTTAAAAGTATTCAAGTACAGGTACAGATACTTATTTTGAAAAGTATTTGAATACTCAGCAACAAAAGTATTTGAGCACAAATACAAATCCTTTAAAAAAGAATTTATAGATAATTTCAAATACTTTCAAATTGTTTATAAAATAATTTTTTTACATTATAAATTAACTGAACCGATTTTAATATTAATTTTATATAAAGTATCATTTGGTAGAACTTTAAAATACTCAACTGTTTTCTTTGTTGAAATATTTGATTTTCGGTTGAGTATAATTCACAGTAAAAAAATATATTATTATATACATATATTTTCAATTTTTATTTTTATTTTAAGTGATCAGAATTAAATTAGAAAATATTAAAACTAAAAAGAATTATTAAAGTAGGTATTAGAAAATTAGTATTTGGTTTTAAATACAGATGCTCCGAGAAAGTATTTAAAATACTTTGTTGAAGTACCATTTAAAATACCTATTTGAGTATAGGTATTTAAAAAGTAGTTTTTACTTAAGTACTTTACAACACTACGTTAGGTCATATTCAACTATTCAAGCTTTAAGGCTTCAAGTCAGTGGTGGTTATAACTGATTTATAAGGTGTGATATACAGGCGTGCCCGACCTACAATATTTCTGGGCAGTTTTCTTAATTTTGGCCCTAGCTCTTATTTCTTAACGAGACATGTACATCATATTAATTAGTGGTAGTTATATAATTACTAGGTAGTAGCCAGTAGGTACTATATTTCCTTGGATCTATAATATCTAAGATAATTTCTATGTTTATTTATTATTTGTACTTTTGTCGTCAATAACAGCTGTTATAATCATAATATGCTATTCCACGGAATTTTCAAAATATTTTATGTTTTGTTACTTTTTTATCACGAAAAATTATTTATTTTGTAGCAGATATTTTAGAAAAAATTACATTTTATTCTAGTTACATCAATTAAAATACAACCCCTTTGCTCGAAAAATTAAATTTTAGGGCTCAATTATAAGATGTCGAAGTTGCCCCTATGCCCCGGGAGGGGGGTGAAACAATTTTATACAAAAACGCATAGGACAATTGAGTTGGAGAGCCCATAACTAGTCCTCAATATCTTGAACTAATGTACGCAGTACACACTTGAAAGTTGAAATACCTAGTTGAAATAGAACAAACGTTTTATATTATTCATATATAGGTACAGTAAATAGAATTTCAAATTAGGTAAAATATACATAAAATAAATATTATGCTACAGCCCTGGGTGGTGGCGGGGGGGATCCACCTGTCTAACCCCTTAATAACCGGCCCTGCTTCAAGTATCTCTCATCAGAATTTCCAACTCGTGTTTTTAATCATTTGTTTCGAATTATTTTTCGAGTTATTCAAACGTTAAAATAAGCCAAATATGGACATATGGTTATTCAAATTTAGAGTCCGTTACGTATGGAAACACTTCAAAAAATATCGTGAAAACTGAAAAGTGGTAACGTGATAAACACGATTACACGATAAGCAAATTGTAAACCAAGAAATTTTGAAATCATTGAAGTGCCCAAGAAATCCGAACGGCGCATCGCTATATTCGCCTAGCCGACACCCGACGGTTTAATTAAAGAATTAAACAATTCATATAACGTCATTGTGTGCACTCTGTTACACTATAGATAGTATATTATAATATTATAGTTATTAGTTATTAGCTATTTGAATTAGGATCTAGGACCACGACATAGCTCGAAAATTAAATCACAATGCACATTGTTGGGACCATTACCCATAATCTATGGTTACGAGTCGACGTGAATAGTTGACGAGTTATCGCGACGACAGTACGAGACAGCACGAAACGGCAAGGTTCATGGTGGCAACCACGTCTCAAACATGCCTAAATGTTTAGCCATGGACCCAATCCCAAACTTACCCAATGTTAAAATAATTAAATATTCTTATTTCCATGGCTAAATATACTTAGTATACTTTATTTCCTAGAGCGCGCCGACGCAGGCTATCCACAACGAGCGTGTGGAATACGGATGAAATATGAATGGACGATTCGAAAGCGTGCAATATTTTACATCACTGCCTCGGCGCCCGCAAAAAGTAAAAACGCAAAACGTTCCGATACGTCATGTAGAGTGTAATTGTGTAAACCATGTTTTTTCGTCAAGATGTAAACCATAGGTTATGGCACACCAACTTTACTATAATAGTATAATCATTGATTTATGATTATAAATACTGTCTATAGTGTTTTATGTTAGAGAGCCTATATAAGCCTTATATCAATATAGCCTTATAGTCAATAATATAGAATGATAATTGATAATATAAAAATGTGAACAGTTCGAATGCCGAGGGTTTGACCCTTAGACATAATATGAATATTATATTTATATTTACTATTATATGTTCGTGGTCTATGGTTTGACCATTTTGAGAGAGCCACGACTTAACGATTACAATTTACGAGTTCACCCTGTTACAATGTAACGGTAGGAATGCGAAAAATGAAAATAACAACAGAAATTTTTTCCGCTTGATAACGTGATACTGCGGTAATTTATTATCTATGGTGACTGCCGTCCCTGTTATCAGGCGGCAACTGGAGGCGCCCGCGAAACTTTTAGGTGAAAAATCAAAAATGTCCAAACTAGGTGAATTTTTCTGACAGTACCTCGGAAGTATGGCCCTGAAATTCGGTGACTGATACTGCGGTAGACGACCATCGAGCCGGAGGTCGGGTCCGAGACTTGGAGCCCCAAGCCCCCAAATAACAACAATAACGTATACGGTGGCGGCACCGACCTGATGTTGGCATCGGTCTTGGCGCGCGCGTATAATCACAGCAGCGATTATTGTTGTATTTTTTTTTTTACCGTTTATATACACTTTACACTCAACACTGGGCCCGCACTTATACGTCCCGCCACCGTCGTTGGTACCGGACGGACGCGGTTATGTTTTGTTGTTTCGTTCGTACGATCTTTCGCGTCGATTTTCTCTCGTCGTTGTCGTTGCACACAATATTATTTTCCGAGTTTTGCGGTCGTCCATCACGCGATTGAAACACGCTCGTTGTGGCCTATACCTACGCTAGTGGCATAAAACAATCCGGAGATCAGCTACCTTGTCCGTCGTTGTCAATACAACCCTTGCGGGCAGGTACACAACAGTAGACGCCGATACTGTACGAGACTTCGCGCGCGCGGACCGGGACAACGGACCACCGAGGCACCGATCAGCAGCTGGCCTTCCGGTCGTCGCGCGGGACCACCGCCGCCGCCACCGCCGCGTCTGCACCAGCGGCAGTTGCCTCCGAAGCCGAACCAACGACCGACGGTTGCGTTTCACCGCCGACCGCGACTTTATTATTTCTCCGCCGCCGCCGCCGCCATGCCACTGCTCCACAGAAAACCGTTCTCCAAGAACCCTGTGCCCAGGGGCCTGAGGGACACGGATGAGGTGTTCTACTGCGAGCTGACCAAAGAAATTTTCCTCAGTTACGAGTGAGTCGAGCTGGGTTTACCAAGGTTTACTTTGCCCGTAGACCGTGTACTATTACACCACCGTGTCATTACGCGCGTTTCACATGGTGCCCCGCGCCCGATCGATTCTCGCGCGGCGCCCACGTTTGGCGACCGACGAGTCCGGTCCGCCCGCGTCCGTTTTTTCAGTCCGTTTCCGTTCGATCCGTCGTTTGCGTGTTTCGTCTCGAAAGTCCGAACACCTCAAACCTGCGTCCACGGAATAGTTAACGGATCACTTTCACCGCGCTTTCCCCCCCCGACCGTGTTTCGATAAGTTTTTTTCTTCACTTATTCGAGGTTAATCTTCCTTAGATTTTGGCGTCCAACGACCGAGTGAGATGAGACATTCTTCATCGTTTTTGCCAACAATCAATTTTCAAAAATTCGTTTCACAGCACTCACATTTCGAACGACCTTTCCCTCCTGTTAACTTAACAACTGTACCTATTTTTCTGTTGAAGGCTCATGAGTCATGACTAATGTTAACATTAATGTTACTGTCAGATTTCCAGAATTAGACCATATATTATTATATTGCTTTAATATGGTAGAATTATGGTAGGAATATGATATGCAATTAATCTAAACCATTAAACACTAACTATCCACAAAATAGAACATTTTTAATGCAAAAGTATTACACAATACCAGTTCCATAAATTTACTTGAAAAATGGCCTAACATTCATGAGCATTGTAAGTTCCTGAAGACTATTGTACATTTTGAAATTGACTATTTAGTTCCTGTTCTTTGTTAAAATTTAAGTTTATTTCATCTAGAAACTTAGTACTGATATTGAATATTTAACATTGAATTTATCTGAAGTGTTAATAAATAAAATAAAATGTATTAACTGTTTTTTTTTCTTATTTATCTATGCAGGCATTATGTAGAAAGAATTATTTTGTGTAATTCATTAGTGTGGTCATGTGAACTTACTGGTAAAAAAAATATGACCTATAAAGAAGCCTTGGATTGTGAATTAGACTCAAAAAAAATGTTGAATGACTTTCCAAATGAGGTAATATTATAAGCCTTAAGTTTCATAGATTGTTTCAAAGTTTTTTTATTTTTCTAACAATCATAATGATAATGACTACATTTTAATTTTCAGCTTCAAAAACCCATTTTGTATTTATTATCTTTGACAAAATGTTCTTCTTTGAAAGAGCTCATTGAACAAATATTTAATTACGTAAGATATAGATATTTTGTATCAGAAATTGTGGATGTTGCTTTAGAACAAGATCAATGGTAAGCATTGTTTAAAATAGAATTAGGCATATTGCATAATGTATTAATTTTTTACAACAAAATGTGATATTTTGTTTAATTCCGTTTATATTTATAGGTTAAAATGTAGAGTTTTAGCTGTGCATGCACCTTCTGACCAAAAAATTGCTGAAAGAAATCATCATACACCAAAGTAATTATTTTAGAATAAGTAAATCATTAGAATTTAAATTTATACTAGTATTTTTTTTCCATAGAAAATCAAATGATAGTAATTCAAGTACAGCTCTTGCATTTTATAGTTATGATGTAGAACTACTCAGTCCTAAAAAAAAACAAAATCCAAACACTGAACCCATATATAGGGTTGATGGTGTTCAAATTCGAAGATCAAAAGCTTGTTTTACGAGAGATCGTTGTAGATTTTTTATAACTCATAATGTTGAGTTTAAAAATGGTTTGATTACACTAAAGGTAAATTTATACACTTAAATAATTAAAATAAATTAATATTTATGCTGAGTAATAAAAAAAATAGAAATTCAAATTTGGGGAACTTGTAAATTTTTTTTTTAAATAAAGAAACTATTCTTGCCATTTTAAGTTATAATATTTTTGAAATTTTACTTGACAATGTCATAACATTTCATAATAGTTTTGATACCTAATTTTAATTAGTTGTGTTCTTTTCTTTTCTTTATGACTAATCATATTATATTCTAATTGTTTTATTCTGTTAAGAATAAATATTTAAAATCACACAATCTTTTGGATATTATGCTCATTAGTCATTGATATCAAGTGTATAATTTTATGAGATGATGTTATAAAATTAATAATATTTTAGGATAATGTAGCAAGTAGTATTGCCAACCTAAAATTTGAAGATATATTCAGTGGAGAATCTCCTCAATTTTCTGAAACAAAAAAGAACAAAATTTTAGCCAAAAATGGATTAACTAAAAAAAGTAATAAATTAATTAATGGAGGAGAACCCTCCAAAAAGGATGATAAATCAATGCAAGAAACAGTTGAAAAATTGAAAGAAGAAAAATTGAAAATTAAAGAAAAGCGAAAGGAAGAAAAAGAAAAACTATCCAAATTTATGAAGGAATGGAACAAGAAAAAAGAAGATCTTGAATTGGAAGATTTAAAAGTAAGTGTAACTTTTTATTTATAGAATTTGCAATTAACAAAGTTAGTTTATTTATTATTACTATTTGGAACTAAGTTGCACCCGCATGATTTCATCTTACACATGGGCGACATATCAAATTTTCGTTTGCCAGTTTTAATTGTGCTGTTTGGTTTGATATTAGAGTAAATATTATCAAACTTTTCGATAACAACATTATCTGTGTTCTCTCATTGGTTTTTAAGTGAATTATGAGCATTTTCAAGTAATAATGGTGTTCATACTCATATGTGTGGAAGACAGAGACAACACGTGTGCGTACGATGTCCTCTTAAGGCTTAAAAATTATTTTGTATCATAATTAGGTACAACATGTTGTTTTAATTAAAGTTGCATATTCCATAAATTCATCAAAATAATTTATCACTTGCTCATATATTTTTATACTTTGCTTGTGTTATAATATTATTCAATGAAATATTTCTATACAAATTCAAATATATATATTCTAAAAAAATATTGACTTGTAAGTTGTTATGTGTCTTTTTGGTCTCAAGCATAGTATGATAATTCAAATTAATTGATTTTAAAATGGGATAGGATTTTTATTTTTCATGCAATTTATGAAAAACAGTTTTAGGTAATTAAAGTTGTTTCTAAGACATTTTATGAATTTTACACAAGTAAAGTAATTTTTTGATTTATTCAATATTTAAACAGTGACAAATTATAAGCAAACAAACAAAATCTTTATTACTTAGTAACTCAAATTCTGGTCTGGGGTTTTGAAATCAATGATTAATATTGTGTTGATGTTATTATTGAGTTAATAACCCCTATCAACAAGTATTTATCTTGGTTTATTTTCATTTAATTTAATATTTATGTTTTAGTTCTGCTATGCTTGTGTTTATAATGGGTCTTATATTAATTATTTTATTCTGATAATTAAATTGTGTAATATTGTATCGATTATCAATATGATTTTTATATAGGAATTACCCAATGTAAATCCAGTTAATTTGCGAGTTCCAAATGAACACTTTGGGGACTTCATTATGATCTATGAGTTTTTTCATAACTTTTGGTCTCAACTTGATGCAGGCAGTTATTTCCCACAAGGAATGAGTATAGAATTATTAGAAAGATGTCTAGTAGAAGAGGAAATAACAGGTACAGACTACAGAGTCTAATAAGTTCTGAATCATTCAATTAGAATACAGTTCATATATTAAAATTTAAAATGATTAATTTTAATTTCATAGGCCCGTTAAATACTTTGGTTCAGGTATTATTAACAACAATATTTGACCTTGAAGAAGATGAAGAAGCCGATATGAAAGATAGTCATATTTCAGGTTTAGTTTTAAATTTGTTTTGAATTATATTGTATTTAATAAAAAAAATAATAATTTAGGATGTGAGCCGGTTTATAATATTAGTGATGATAAAACAAAAACTGCAGTAAAATTAGCAACCAACGTTAAAAATTGGACAACACAGCATTTGGGCCAACAGTTGAATAAAATAACATTACAACCAACTGTAATTTCAGAAGTTTTGAGAATTCACATACTGTCATCTGGTGGAAAATGTTCTGATAGAATGACAAAGTGGATGTAAGTTATTCATCAATAATAATTAACACAATTCATTCGACTTATTATGATTTTATATATTTTTAAGATACCATGAAAGAGGAAACTATTGTCCTACAGATGATCCTGGACTTAATATTAGATTAGAACACCCAGAAGTATTAGCAGCTCTTAGTCGTCATCATATTTCATGTTTGCCAATTTGTAAGTTTTTAAAATAAGAAGAACATGTTATTGATTGTAATGTATTGTATATGCGTTTAGCTGACAAAATAATGTTAATTAATTGCTTGATGAATCAAATATTAACATTTTCATCGTATCGAATACAACTACTGAATACTGTTGTTAAAATGAAAAATGACAGACTAGAAGTAAGAAGTGCATTAGCAGCGGAAAAGAAAAAAACCCTAGAAATAGTTCAAAAGTAAATTTTTAATTTGTTATTTAAAATAGTCTTAGGTTACGTTTTAAATGTTTATAATTGATTTGATATTCTCTAGAAAAAAAGAAATGAAACTATTGAACGGTGAAGCTCAGAACATAGAAACTTCTGACCAAAAGGCTATTAATAGTAGATTAAATGAATGGAACAAAAAACTTTCTGATTTAACTGATTTAGGCATGACTGCTCAAATATTGCCTCTTGGAACTGATCGAGCATTTAAGAAGTATTGGATGTTTGCAACTATGCCTGGACTTTTTATTGAAGATGATGAACCTTATCCTGGAACTTGTCTACCCAAGTATTAATATTTTTTAAAAAATTTTTTCATAGAGTAACTTATTGTGTTTACTATCAATATTGAATATTTTACTGTGTTTGTTTCAGTGGTACTCCTATTAATAACATTAATGAGAACGATCCTGTGTCTTATGTCAAAAAACTGTTTGAAATGAATGAAAAAGAAAATGTTAGTGAATCAAGAGTCAGTATATCGAATACACCATCAAAAAAAAGACTTCTTGATGAGAGTAACAATACGTCATTTATGACCAATGGGAGTTATGTAGATCAAAAAAGGTCACTTTTGAGATGTTTTGGTCCAGGCAGTCAATGTCCAGTGCATGATAACATTGAACATAGGCTTGCTTGGGGTTATTACAACACTCCAGAAGAATTAGATGGTTTAATTAATAATTTAAATTCAAGAGGATTAAGGGAGGGTGAACTTAAGAAAGTGTTGATACAAGAAAAACCACGTATACTTTCAAGCATGGAAAAATGTACCAATTGCCTTCTAAACCCGTCATTGGTAAGTAATTTTCATTTTTAAAAAAAAATAAGTAATTGTATTGTACTCTACTCATCCTACTTAAATTTTTCACACACATTTAGTTATACTTCTCTTAAATAAAAAATAATAAAATTTAAGTAAAATGTATGTATACTGTTTATTGATATTTTTTTCTTTTAAAATAACTACAGTAAAACTTTGATAATCTGGGCGAGTTTAGATAAAGTGTGTTACTGGATTACTGGAGATTTTTAAAGGGCTCAATAAGTCCAAGAAATTTTGTTTTGATAATGAATTACAAAAAAAAAAAAAAATTGAACAATAATAACATCAGTACATCAATAATCTTGATACGGTAAGGTGAAGAGGGGGATACCAAATAACAAAATTGTTGTAAATAAATTTGTTTTATAAGTTAATTGTTTTCCCGGAATTTTAATAGGTCATTACTAGGGCCTGGATTTTAAATGCTCTAAAAACCGTTGAAAAGTTGCTAAAAATGTCTATAAAAAAATTATCTTACCGCAATAATGCCAATTAAAATGAACATAAAAATATTTTTTTAAAAGGACGCTACACAGATATTTGTTGTCTTTGCTTACAAATGGATAACATAGAAAATGTACGCTCAGCAGTTCACTTTTATCACAGTTAATTTAAAAATTAGAGTGAATCGACCTATTATGGAACTTGATGGTAAGAACATTATCTGTGTTTGTATGTGTGTTTTTTGTACCTTATTTCAGTTTTTAAGTGAACTATGAGCATTTTTAATAAAGGCTATATTATATACACATAACTTCCTAAAAAATTTAACTATCGTAAGAAACCCATATACAAAGACAGATAATGTACTTACCATCAAGATTCATAATAGGTCGATTCACTCTAATTTTTAAGCTAACGGAGCTAAACTTGTTCTCCTGAGAGTAAATTTGCTATGTTACGAACTTGTAAGACGTATACATAATGGCTGTGTAGCGTCCTCTTAATGCAATGTTTTATTAGGTACACTTACCTAATTTAAAATAATTTATATGAAAAAAAAAAACCAAAACTTGATGAAAATTTGATTAGAAGTTCAGTGATTATAAATTATAATCACGGCCCACAAATGTTACTATTGGATACATGTTTTTCCCTCTGTAAAGGCTTAAGTGGGTAAATAGTTAAAAGTACAATTTTTTGGACCAAAAGGATCTCCCCCCTCACTCCTTGAAGATAAATCAAATCCGCTACTGAAGTCGTATGATATACAAATATGTATTAAAACTTGCAAAATGTAAAATACAAGTTTTACCTTTGAATTATCTGTTTTATGAAATAAATTATGTACCTGGAAATAAGTTTCTTAGATTACCTAAAAAAGATGCACTTTTCATTGAAATCCGGGCCCTAGTCAATACTTATTAATGTGCTGTCGAGTGTCCAGACTACTGAGATTTCACTGTATTTAAAGTGGGGACTAGAATCTTTTAAATTGCTACGTACTGGTTCTGGTTTTTGTTCTTTAAAAAAATTTTATTGATTACTGTTTCTGTTCATTTACAAATGTTAGTTTATATTTATGTACATTCTGTTTCTAAGATTTAAATAGATAGTTATGAATATTTATAGTGTACATTTTGCTTAGTATTTAATGACAATTTTTTCTGACTTCTTTGGTAGCATGTTAATGTATTAATTAATTCATGTGGTATATTTTGCTTCAACAATAGCCATCCAGTATTTTAAAACCATTGTCAGTTTAAGACATTTTTTATTTTTTGTTAAAAATTTAAATTCTATATTTATAATTTTATCTTTTAGCTACTTAAACATTTATTATTGGGATCAGATCATAATGTTTTAACAATAAATTATTGAATAATTAAATAAGGTTATGTCACTTTTTATATGTTCAACATATTTATTTTGAGATGGAAAATAACATTTTTAATTTGTTTTTAAATAATGTTGAGTATCCAGTTCCAGTCCCTTATTTACTATCTAATATTTTTTTAAATATTTTTTAGATGGTCGAGGATGATAAAAAAATTCAAAAACGTTTGAAAACTGATTTTTCTGAATTCAAAAAATTAAACGTTAAATTTCTACGTTTAGATTCTGATGTTGACACCTCAATGGAATTAACTTTAAGAGAGTATATTTTATATTTAGAACGGAGGTTAAACACCTCAGCACTCGGTAGCCTTGGGTTGAAGGTATGTTTTCATTAATTGTAGAGTTTATAGATTTTAGTCAAATCTAATAAAAATTATATTTATTATAGTCTTCAAATAGAGATCAATGGAGGGAAAATATTTATAATGGCATTTATAAAGTCTCTGGTCAATTGTCATGGGGTAATAGGAGTAAAGTGGTAAGTTCATTATTTTCAACATAAAATATAACTTGTTTTAATAACTAATACAATTGTATTTATTTACTACCCATTATCTATCTGTGAATAAGTGTATGTATTAATTTTTTTCTTAGAACGAAGACAACTCTGAAAAAGCTAGTTCGCCAGAACTTATTAGTAAGTTTACAAGCAACAGTAATTTTAGTAACTTAAACACATTACAAAATATTGTTATTTTAGATTACCAAGATCCAGTTACATATATCATTGATATTAAAGGTGATAAAAAGATATTTGAGTTGGCTTCAGTTATCCTTAAAATAGAACAATCTATTGAGCCAAAATTCCTCAGAAGACCATTAGGTAATTGCATAGTAATGTTTAATAACTAAATTTATTGATGAAATTAATTTTGTTTGATATTGGAAAAAAAAAAATAATTAACGGTACACATCCCTTTATGTTTGTTCTACATTTTAGAATAAAGTAGTAACATATTTATTTTTAACACAGTAATTAATGCATAAGTAATAACTAATAGTGCATAACTTCATCATTAACCATGGACTTTTTATTTTATAAATTGTTTTAGGATTTGACAAAAAAGAAAAAATGAGTTCAGCCATAAATCCTTTAATGGATAAGTGGGAAATGTCACTGATGAATTCATTAAATTTTTCACAATTATTTTTACATTTAATTACATTAGGTAATCAAGATTATATTTTAATATATTAAAATACTTTGAATATATCAATTGCTTATTGATAAAACTTTTTTTTTTAGAGAAAAGTATTGAATGGTCAAAATCAATTATGAAAGTCAATTGTGTGTTATGTCGAAGCAATAAGGACGAAGATGTTATGTTGTTGTGTGATAACTGTAATAAAGGACATCATATTTACTGTTTAAAACCAAAACTAAAGGTACGTTTGTCGTTTTATACCATTTTTGTGTTATTCATATATATAAACAATGATGAACTTTTATGTTTATAGAAAATTCCCCAAGGTGATTGGTTTTGCCAAAAATGTGTGCCTATAGTAAAACATGAAGATGAAGACGACGAACCTGAGGAAAAATCGTTAGTTATTAATTATTATATTGTCACCTGTACACATACTTATTTCAATAATAATATTAAAAAAGATTAAGGGCCGTTCTTACAATGTCCGGTTAAAGTTAATCAAAACTTTATTGGACATTGTAAGAACGGCCCTAAGTATAACTTATTTTACTGTTAACAGGTGTAATAATTCTAATAATTTGTTGTGCAAAAAGTGATCAAGTGTACATTTTACATTAGTAGTTGAAATAATGATTTTCAACTTCAGTATCTTGTTCAACGGGAAAGTGAATATAGTTGGTACTTTTGGGATGTCAAAATTTAAAATTCCCAATAGTTTTCAAAAGCACCCGGAAAAATGGGAATTTTAATGCAAAATCGATTTTGGCTTTTGGTGTAACTCTAAAACAAATTATTGTAAATACATGAAATTTTCATATTAGTCTTTTCTATATATTATGATAAAATTTTCAATTTAATATTTTGACTTGTTTGAAACTGTTTACGGATATACTCAGTTTCCAAATATTTTAGGTTTTTATTCTATGAATGTGGTTAAAACTTATTTGTTTGGTAAAAAAGATTGAAAATGTAACACAAAGCTCATACTATATTGTTACAATGACATTTGAAAAATATTAATAATCCTTAGTTACCGTTTTTTTTTTAAAAGCATTTTAGGTTGAGTATGGAAAAAACATGAACATTAGCAAATTATTTTGAGTTAGAAATCCATAAAAATTTTTCTTTTTAAATCTCTGATTTTAAAACGTAATACAAAATTCTTTATAAGTATTCAAAAAAAAAAAAATGTCTACAAGAAAGTCAAATTAAGTTTTTATGAGCTTTTGAAGTTCATATTTTTACAACATTGGATATTTGCCCGATTTCTCATGTAGCGATGTATCACTGTAGATGCATGAAAATTTGACTGAATGTTTATATTTTCATTTTCTTATACTATACAATTTTGGCTTTTTTTTGAGCTGGTTATGGACATTGTCAGTATTCAATTTTTTTCTATAAATATCAGTACAATTTTTATTTGTTGGGTAAAAAAGCTTGAAAATTTAATGCAAGACTCCTGATATAATGTTACAATAGTAGTTAAAAAGTATTCAAAATACATTGACACAATTTTTTTTATAAGCATTTAATATTCAAATTTTTACAAAATGTATTAAATTTAAAATTTAACTATTATTTTGTAGTTAGATATGTATTAAATTTTAACTTTTATAGCTATGGATTGATAAATTAAAATAAGGTTTTATGTAAATAGGTTATATATAAATTACTTTATTCATAATAATAATATCAACAAATATACTTAGTTATATCATAGGCTGACTGACCGTTTTCGCTCAGATTCTTTTTTCTTATACAATGATATTTTATCATTGAATTCAAATTTAACATCATCCATTACAGTGACCGACTTGTAACTGACTGTAGAGCAGGGCGACACCCACTTGCCCACTTTTTTCATTTAAATTTTATGTCTCATCAAGATCATAATTTTTTTGTTTTTTTTTCACTTGTGTCTCTTTTTGCATGTTTGCAACTAAGTTGTGATTTGTACATGTATAATTGACCAAGCAAAATAAATAAATAATTATGGAGTAATACAAATTTCATAATAAAATCTTAATAATTTTCACTTGATCACTTTTTGCATAGATGCTACATATATATTAGATAGTATCTATGTTGTATATTTAATTACAAATAATTTTTTTTATGTATTGGTTTTGTTTTTTTTTTTTGCAGGAAGTTTGATATTTGTCACATTTGTAAGGAAGAAGGGAAAGTGATAACTTGTGATGATTGTTTGAAAAATTACCATTTAGCCTGTCTTAATCCACCAAAACGTGCGCCGCCTAAACGAAATTGGACATGCTTCAGTTGTCGACAAACATCTTGTAAAGGTACTAATATTGCATTAATATTGTTTTGAATTATTAAGTGTTGTTAATATTATAACAAATTACCTTATACAACTATCTTAATATATTTAAAAATATATTTATAATGTGTCTTTATGTATAATATACATATACATTTCAATGTTAGAGAATAACATTAATTGGAGAAAGTACTTTTGATACTTTACATATAATATAAATAATCCATTGCTCTATTGATATCTAAGAGTACTTGCTGTTTAAGAATACAGTTCTTACTATTATTTAATAATGTATGCGGATGTTGGTATACAACTAGAGTTAATAAATTTCATAAATACTTAATCAACACTTTAAATAAAACATTAAGATAATTATTTTTTGTAAATAACATAGTAGTTATATTACTTGTATTCATATTTTGCTGAGGTACCATATACTGATATACAAACAATTGTCAACTGAGATTAATTATTATCAAGAGGGATGGAGTTTTTGAATGTGAGGTAGTAGTGCCATTGCACAATGTTGCTTAGTTACAGACATGCTGTAAGTTTCTCTTTCTAGACTAAGTCTATTGGCTTTTATATATTTTATAATATATTATTTGGCTATTTAGCGTTTTTGATTTGATAAAATAGTTTGCACTGAAATTCCACTTGCACTACGTGATTGTTGCACTAGTTTTCTATAAATTGAATTGGAAAAAAAACATTGTTATTAAATATTAAATTTGATTATAATGATAATAATATGATAAATAGGAATTAGAGGATAAAGTGTCCTGTTATAGAGAAAAACGGTTCATATTTACAAGATGCAGTATGCACCAATTGCACTCACAAAATCGGCGGTCCAGAAAGTGCGCAATGAGTGAACACGAATATTGTGTCAGTGCAATAAATCAAATAACACTGCCCTAGATCACTGAATATTGGTCAAATCGAAAACGCTCTTAGTTAGATATATAGATTTTAATCCCTCTTAGAACGTAAGAAACCTTTATTGTGCCTCTTTAAATTTTATCGGCAGGGAACCCCATCTTATGCCAGAACCTTATCAACAGCTCCTAAAAAAATTCATAAATAAGATCAACGGTTTGCTAATCCATTTACAACTATTCCTGGTGATACAATTAACTTAAGATATTAATTACTTAAAAAAATATATTAACGTTTTTGAAAATATTTACTTAATTTTAGTTAGAATGAAACATTTTCTAAAAAATATATTTTTTATTGTTACCATTTTTAATGACAATATGCATTTTTCATTTCTTATTTGGTATTCTATAGCTCATTATTTTTTGAAGTACTTTGATATACAGTAGATTTTTGTTTGTTGAACGTCAATATCTAAAATTTGTTGTGACCTCAAATTCTTAAAACTTACATAATAACTATTTACATTTAAGCCCTATGAATTGTTAAAAGCCAATAGATTTCCAAATGAATAAAATGATATTATGCTGAATATAAATGTTTTATTTATGGATGAATGTTGAATAATTTTAATTCGTTTTGGTGATAAAATAAACCAATTATTTCCTGGTCCTATTTCAATCTGTTAAATATTATTTACAGATGAATTGGAACAGGTTGAGGTGGAAAGGTATAGCAGGCGTAAGAGTTCGCAGGCTGCAACTGCTAAAATATCTGAATTTGCCCGACAACTGTTACATGCATCAGCCAGATGTTATGGTCTGTCTCTGATGTCCTATTAGCTAATTTTCAGTGTTTATTACAAATATAATAATGATAATTATTATCCGTTGCAGATCCAGGCCGTATTCTTAAAATGCTCATTTTAATTTTCTTATACATATTATATGTCTATAATTAATAATACAGTTCATTAGGTTTGATGATAAAATTATAAATGAATAGTACTAAATACTTTTTACTATTAAAATCTAAAATATATATTTAAACAAGACATGTAAAATATAGACTTGAAAATTTGAATTCAGTTGATTTTGTTACACCTGGATCTGTATTATAGAATACAATTTTAATAATTTTATTGCATGTAAATAATTGTATTTAAATATTTAAAATAGCTTGATATTATGTATATCTGTTTATACTTGATGGTTTGTTTTTGTAGGTAAATACTTGTGTTAATGATGTGTGTCTTATGTTTAATATTATGCTTTGTTAAAAAAAAATTGTATGTATATATTTATTAATATAATACACATATAATATTCATATAAAAGTTACGATATATTACGTGAGATATGGCATGGTTAGATTGTAGTTGGTAAATTGATATTCTTATTGAAGTTATTTTGGTTATCCTCGGCATAATTGCCTTTAGGATACAGTTTAATATTTATTGATTATTATGAATTTTGCATGGTAATAATTTGTTTTAAATGTCTAAATAGTAAATATCAATTAAGTTTTTATTTTATTATTATTATTTTAGGGGAAGAAGAAAATATTACTGAAGAGAAAAGTCGAAGAAGAGGTAGACATACTGAACAAACAACTTTAACTACATCTGAAGATCTGCCCTTAGATAATGCTCTTCTTCAGTTACTTTTAAACCAAGTCATGCATCATCCAGATGCATGGCCATTTTTAAGACCTGTTACTAAGTCTCAGTGTCCTGATTACCATACAATAATAAAAACTCCCATGGATTTGGGTACCGTAAAGTATAAACTTAATATGCTATCATATAGTACAAATGCAGATTTGTTAAGTGATATGGAATTGATATTTGAAAATTGTTTTTACTATAATTCAGAAAATTCTGAAGTCTTCAAGTTAGTAATTAATACATTATTATAATATTGGAATAGTTAATAAATGCGAGTTCATTATATTTTATTAGGTGCGGTGAACAAGTATACAATTACTACAAAAAATTATGTCAAGAATGCAATTTGAAAGATTTCAGTGAAGATGGTGTATATGATGGCCCTCCACTAAAGAAATCAAAACACAGCTTATAAATTTACCTTTTGACTAAATGTTAGAATTTAAATTAGGTTTCTTTACATATTCAATAATTTACTGATTGTGTCACTAACTGATTATTGTCACAGTGGACCTGTTAAATTATTCATTACATCTTCCCCTTAGATTTTCAAAACATTATTGAGTAAGTTTATTTACCAACAGTCTGATTCATATGAGTCATTTGTAAATCTGTTTAATATATAGTTCATAAGAACTATATAAATATTAAAATATTAGTTAGAATAAGACATATAGTTTAAATTAAATTAGTTAGAATTATTTTTTCTACTTGGCAATGATGCTTTTCCCCCAACACGCAAATGACGAAAAGTGTATTGTGATCCATTCTATTATTACTAATAATAGATTATACTTGCTGTATATTGAAGCTAACATTCATTTAGACTATGAAACTGTTTTTAAGATCATTGTTGTATTTCCTTATTATATATTGTGATTTTTAAAGAAAAAAATTTTTATTCATACAAAATTCAATCAATTACATTATACTTAGACATTTTGTAAGGCTATGACTTATGTGAACAGCACATCATAATTCTATTTCATTTTCAGTTATATGAATACTGTTTATATAGAAAAAAATTATTAATTTTAGTAGATATTTTGAACTCGGTACAATTGCAGTTTATTTTTAAGGTTGATCTTTCAATGTTTTTTTTTTAATTTATCGTGTATATTGATCCTCAGCTCAAACTTTTTATTTTGTTCTCTGTAATATAATATAATGAGTTTCTTTGAAGACATAGTGCTAAGTGCTATGTTTTGTCTATAATTATAATTAAAATAATAAAAAAAAAAAAACAAATTTCAATGTAATTATACGTTTATGTTTAGATAAACGTAGTCAGTCTTTATTTTCTATATTATTTAAAGTATTTTATTTTTAATTTGTGTAATTCAATTCCTATTTTCGTATTTTTTACTTATTATTAGTATTTTAATTTCTTTTTTTTAAGTTAAATATTAGTATACATTAAATTTTTTTAAGAAAAGATGTTGTTTTATTTTGTCATTTTAAATTATATTTAAGTATTTCAGCAATTTCCAGAAATCTTAAATAGGACTGGGTAAATGGTTAAAATAGTGAAAAAAATATTGTAAGATAATATTACTTCACCTCATGGTATGTGTTTTTTTGTATATTGATGTAACAATATCTATTTTAACTTTCTAAAGATTAAAAATTGCATACAGATATATTTTCTTATAAAAAAATATTTTAAACCATTTGTTCGATTATAAATGAAAGTATTGGGTTCAAACTGGAACCACAAATTATGACATTACCCTAGATATATCACATGTAACTAATATAACTTAAGAGGATGTCACATCCGCATGTGTTATCTCCGTCTTACACACGTATGACATGGACAAAATGCACTCACCAAGTCAGTAGAACACGCTCAATTTTGGTTCTAGAGTAAAAATACCTATTATAAAATTAAATTGTGACAAAATTTATGAAAAGTCGTAATTTTTTTTAAAATTAAGAAATGTTAAAGGTATTTTAAAAATGTTGAATTTTTTTCTATTTTTAAACAATATAATGACGTTATATTGTTATAACGTTGTATTGTTCATAATGGAAAAATCACAAGGACTTGCCCTCATTGTCACAAATTAATTTTATATATAATAGGTATTTTTAAATTAAGCTAGTTCTACATTCTACTTAGCGGCGTCGCGGAAGTAGTGCGAAAGCAGTTCCCGCGACGCCGTCGGTTCAAACAGAAAAAAAAAAAAGTTCTACATTCTACTCAAACTGTGTAAATGCGTTTTGTCCATGTCGTACATATGTAAGACGGAGATAACACATATGGGTGTGACGTCCTCTTAAGCCTTTTTTGTATCATCCTTAAAATATTTTGTATTAATCTTTAAATTGTAATTTGTAATGCATTTCAGAAATGCCAATAACCTAAGCAGTTGTGGTGTATATTTAAATAAAAAAAAGTAGAGGTAGTTAGAAATGGGTTTAAACTATATTATAAACAAAATGTCTAGAATCGTTATACAAGGTTTTTTTTAAGATAGGATTTAGGTGAAATTGTTACTTTTCTTGTTTATATTTTGTTCTTATTCCTAGTGAAATAATATGTGATTTTTTAATTTATTGATGGTGCAAAAAGTATCAATATATTTTTGATAACTTGTTTGTCTCTCTGATGTTCCTGGACTGGTTGGTCTTGTGTTCAATAATATAAATCCTAGTCCAAAATATAGTTCTAGTTGTGTCAATTCCTTTACGTGTGAAATTGATAATAAATATTAAGAGTGCTATAGTAAAATATACAAGACACTTTACATATTATGGTCACACAGTATTCCAATTTCCAAACACCATTCCTCTCTTCAATCATTATTTAAATTTCCATTTAGTATCTATTCAGCAGTAAATATAAATTTAATAATAATATATACCTAATATTAAGAGGGTGCTACTGCTACACCCGCATGCGTTTTCTACTTTTTTTCTATCTTCAAACTCATAACATGGAAAATTGTGCGCTCAGCAGATCACGTTTAGCTCTGTTAGCTTAAAAATTAGAGTAAATTGACCTCTTATAAAATCTAAAGGTAAGATTATTATCTAGTGAATCACTCGTAGGGTTTTTTAGATTTTAATTTTAAAGCAAATTATAGAGTATTTTTAAATAGACAAACAATTTACAATTTTAAAATGATACATTGATTTTATATTGATACATTTTGTAAAATTTGAATTCTTAATGCTTATAAGTTAAAGTTATGAGTTATAAGTTATAAGTTATAACCATACAAATCGTTCTAACTGTAAGAGTGTAAAATCAACACACTCTAAAATATTGCATATCTTATTGCACGCAACAATTTTTATTGTGCCAATTTACTATAAAATAACTTTCCAATGGTACATTAATTTTTCTCTTAATGTGTTAAATGGAGTTATTGGTATGTCATAAAATTGATTATGTATTAATATTTAATATATAGATAATATCATTGTATTAATTTTATCTCAGCTTCAAGGTAGGCTTTTTATCGCTCCCACAATACGTCCTTTTCGACGTTTCCGATCATCCACATTTCAATAATCGTCATTCCCATGCATTCCAAATCTTTTTACACTTAATCAAGCTATCACTGATGAGGCCTACCTTTTGGCCTCTTCCCGCTGGGTTTATTGATTAATAGTTAATACCTTATACTTTGTCCTCCATACATGGCCAGCCGACTCTAGTACTTTAGCTTTCAGACATTTTTGTATCATGTATGATCGGTCTATTGAAGTCTATTTAAATTGTAAAATAATGTTATTTAAATTTATGCGGGAAATGTTGGTATATTGCCATATCATACGGATCACTACCTTTTGTTCCACAATTTTTTGTTCCAAGTCAACTTATTCCAATGATATTAACTTCCAAATTTTACTTTTGTTCCTATATACATTTGTTCCAATACCTATTTGTCGAAAGACATTTGTTCCAATGAACATTTTTTCCATATAAATTTCATCCAATTATATCTTTTCACATTTACATTAATTGTTCCGATGAACGTTTGTTACATAATTTATTTGTTCCACAGGATTTATTATACAAAACATTTGGAACAAATATTCATTGGCACATAATGGTCTTGGAGTAAAGAATATTTAGAAAATAATTGCGTGGAAAAACATTTGAATTGCATTTTTTATTTATGCATAAACCCAGGGCCGGAGCGAGGGGGGGGTTTAAGGGGTCGTCACGACCCCTCACTCATTTAACCTAATATTTCAGTCGGCACATTACCACTTTGTCAAATACAACAAAAATATGTATAAAATATAAAAATACAAAAAAAAAAAAAAAATTAAAATAAACCAATTAATTCCTATGGCTAATGAACTTTGTCGTTTGGCATTAACATCACCAGTTACCACAGCTTCAAATGAACGATGTTTCAGCAAGCTAAAATTAATCAAAAACCATTTAAGAACTACTATGACCAGTTCCCGATTAAATGATTTGATTATACTTGATTCTGAGAAAGACATTTTAGATAATATTGAAATGACAAATATGATACAAATATGGCATCGTTAAAAGAAAGAAGAATTTCGGTGTAATATAAAATTATTATATATATAATTTTTTTATAATTTTAGATTCTGAGCGGAGCGATGAATGTATTGGTTTTACAATGATGTATGTTTTTATATTTTTATATTTTTATTTATATTTTTATATTTTTGTGTCTGTCATCACGTTTTGGGACAGTAAAAGTGCTTCGATTTTCTTCAATAGTACCTTTTCTGATAGGAAAGTGAATCTAGTTGGTACTTTGGGGGGTCAAAAGTAAACATTTTCCAGTAGTTTTCACAAGCGCCGGGAAAAACAACATAAAAATTAAGGAAAAAACGGGAATTTTTACGCAAAATTGATTTTCCAAAAAATCGAATTTGGTTATTGGTGTAACTTTAAAACAAATGACCGTAGATACATGAAATTTTCACTGGTTGTTTATATTTGCATTTTCTATACACGATAACATTTTCAAAATATTTTGATTTATTTTGAACTGTTTAGGGACATTTTCATTTTTCATTTTTTTTTAGTTTTTTTTCTAGAAATATCAATAAAATTTTATTTGTTGGTTGCGAAAGCTTGAAAATTTAATAGAAGGCTCCTAATATGTTGTTTCAAAGGCAGATGAAAAATATTAAAAATCCTTAGTCACAATTTTTTTTTATAAGCATTTAAAGTTCAAAAATTGACAAAATATGGAAAAATCACGAAAATTAGGAAATTATTTTGAGTTAAGAATTCGTAAAAATTTTTCTTTTTAAATCTAAGATTTGAAAATGAAACACAAGATTCTTTATAAGATTATCTACCTTTATCAATAAAAAAATCTCTACCGGACAGTCAAATTAAATTTTTATGAGCGTTTGAAATTCAAATTTTTACAACATTGGATTTTCACTCGATTTCTCATGTAGCGA